TTTTTTTTTTTTTTTTTGTTTTTTTTTTTTTTGGCAATACAAGATTTTATTATTAAGAATATAAGGAGTATTCTTATCTATTACAAAAAATGACTGAGTGATTTTTAATTTTGTGATTGAAAAAATTATTATAAAAGATTTATGTTATTTTTATGTCACATGAATTAAATGTTTAAAATATTAAAAGTTTAGAATTAAAACTTAAATAATGTGTCATTTTTTTAAACATTAAAAATTAACTTTCTAGCATCGAAATTTGGTGAGCCTAAATAAATGGATGAAAACGAGATGTATGATGATTTCTTTCTTAATGTTGCATTCCATACAGTTAGTATGTCTTCTTGAGTTTCTTTCTTAATGTTACATGCCATACAGCTAATATTTGAATCCTGACTTTTTTTGTGAACACTTAAGCAGTCCACACCGTGTCTTTGCACACCCTAAAAATGATATGAACATGACATCAATAATAGTTTCTTCCTTTATGTTAGAAAAGTTGTTCATTAAAAAAAATCATCAAAAAAAAAGAAAAAAGTGTGGGTGTTTTTCACATAGTGAGCTTGTTATTATTAATAATAAATGGGGTTAATGCCAATTATTGTCCCTCTACTATAAAAAATAATTCAATTTAAACCTTCTACTTTCACTTCACCTCATGTCCTCCCTCTATTATTAATTAACTACACATGTCCTCCCCCTACTATTAAAAAAGGTATCAATGTCGTCCCTCCGTCCAACTTCCATCCAATTTTAAGGTAACAAACAGTTTGTCCATCGTTAACCATCGACCCCTCGGGCATCCAACCCCCTCCCCTTTTTTTTTCTTTTTTCTTTTTTTTTTTTAGCTAGCCTTTAATGGGCCCTACTGGCCCACATCAACTATTCTTCAATTTGAACGACAAAAACCCTATCCCAAGTTTGTTGGTGAATGGCAGTATTTGTGTGCCTTAGGAGTTGGTGCCTTGTCGATGAATTACCGATTCAATCACTTCGCCTTACCCAATTGGATTTCAAACTCAAAATTTATAGGTAAGCTTATTTTGTTTGCTCCTAAAAACCTATGTTCATTGCAGGTAAGGTGTTGGCTATGTTACTCTGTAAAAGAATGCAATTGCATTCATCTCCAGCTTGGAGAAATGTTGGATATTCGACTACCCATTTGAGTTTCTTTTTAGATTTTGCATCAATTTCTCAAAGCAGACCTTTCTCATTTATTGTCTTACCTCATTAATTCATGTGGGTTATCCTCTGCATCTGCTAAATCGATCTCAAAACATGTTTAGTTTTGAAATTCAATAAAGCCAGATTTAGTCCTCCAATTGCTCAGAAACCATGGATTCATTGATGCTCATATCTCCAGAATTGTTAGGGTACATTCGCTAGTGCTTTCGTTAGATGCTAAGAAAATTGTTTTGCCCAAACTCAAGTTCTTTCATTCTACTGGGATTTCGGATACAAACCCTGCAACTCTCATCTCCAGAAACCCAAGTCTCTTTGGACGGAACTTGAGCAAAATTATTTTTTGTTATGATTTCCTCAAGAGCCAGCTTGTTGACAATGAAATAGTTGTTAAATCCTTGATGAAGACTACATGGATTTTATAGGAGGATGTGCAGTGGAATGTTTATCCCAATATCTCATACTTGTAAGAGGTTGGGATTCCAGATTCTAGTATCTAGCTTCTGTTGAAAAAGGCATCAGAGTCATTGTGCTTGGATACCAATAAATTCCATGAGAAGGAGAAACAAATTCCTAGGATGAGATTCAACCCTTCAAGTTATGCCTTTTTTGAGGTTACTAGAGCTTGGCCAACCAAAGAAACTGGGAAACTCAAAGTAGAAGTATATAGAAGTTGGGGTTGGTCTAAAGATGAGATATTGTCAACTTTCAAGAAATTTCCTTCACCTATGAGTATATCAACAAAGAAATTTATAAGTGTGATGGATTTTCTAGTGAATAAGATGGGTTGGCATCCTGCAATAGTTGCTTCATTTCCATTTGTCCATGCTAGCAGTTTAGAGAAGAGGATCATCTTGAGGTGTTTTGTTATAAGAGTTTCGTTGTTAAAGGGTTTGATAAAGGAGGAAATTATTTGTCTACTATGGTAATATCCCCGAGAAGTACTTCTTAGATAGATTTGTGTTCATGTATGAGAAATTGATCCCTCAATTGTTGAATATCTTCCAAGGGAAACTGGACCTTTTGGAACTAGGCCTAAGTTTTGAAGGAAAGATTGATGCTAAAGTCAAATAACAGTTAAACCAAAAAAAAAAAAAAAAAGAAGAAGAAGAATTCTTGCCTACAAGCTCCGTGTGAGAAGGAAGAGCCACGAAGTCTATGGCAACTTCGCGCAAAGGGAATAAGCCTTGTGAGATATAATGTGGTGTTGGTGGGGCCCACCGAAGGCTAGCTGTAAAACAAATAAAGAAAATGTTGGATGTGTTAA